CGGAGTGGATCTGGCGGTGTCATGTCCGCAAATTCGCTCTCTTGTGATGTGGCGGACCGTGAACCGGAAACTTAGATGACTATGCAATGCACTATACAGGGTGTTCCTTAAAGACATGCTGATATTTGAGGGGGGGATTCTCTGACTCATTTTAAGAAAAAAACTTCATATGAACGTGTTTGTGTAAATAGTTAATTGCTGTCAGTACTTGATCGAATTGTAGAAATGTAGTGAAAGGAAATAGGCTTTTATTGACAAATTAACAAAAGCATTGCTTGCTTACCAAGTACCGACGATTAATGTCTCAGTACTCTCTTGTCGACAGGGTTGGGGGTGGCACAGCAATGCATACAAGGCGCTGATGCCAGATGTACAATAAATAATGAACTATGAATACACTCTCAAACATATTCCCCCCTTTGAAGGACACCTTCAAATGGATCATTGCAAAAAAACGAAAACAAAAATATACAAAATATGAGGGATAGTATGCATGGTATGTCAAGATTCACTTTAAAGTTCATTTTCTATATGTTTGTTAAAAATATGAATGAAAGCTGAATATCGTTGCAACAAACATAAAGTTTGTGATTCCTTAATAAAGTTAAAATCCAAGTTGATTGCACAAATATTCTTGAATTTGAACGAAGGTATCCTCAACTGATGTTGTTATGATTAACTCATGAAAGTATTTAGGGTGAATATGAAAAAAATTACAAATTGGGAAATTATTAACGAAATGAATTGTGAAACTAAAAAATGTCTCAGGAGGCCATGCTTTGGTATTTAGGCATAACTTTCAATTGTTAACAACTTTTCTCAATAACATTTGACTGAATTTTCTGAAATAAGGGTACTTTACTCTTGAGCAATTTAGAAATTTTTTGACCTACCCTGTATGCTGTTTGACTTTGCAACCATTTTAAGTGCACCTGAAATGATTACCGAACATGCACCAACTTTCGGCACTATCTGTATTTTGATTGTGCAATTCAGTAAAAAGATTCCCATATGTTGCACACTTGAATGACCACACTGCATCATAATATGTGTGACGTACTTAAAACTATCAATAGTATTGCGAGCACACACCCCTGACAGTAATAGTATATTATGTAACAAGTGTTATAAACGTCCTTTTAGTAACGAGTATTTTAAGCACGAGCGGAGCGAGTGTTTAATGAACGAGTGTCTAGAAGAGTTTATAAACGCGTTACATACTATTCTTTTTCTACGAACTCCAAAAATTACATCAACATACCTGCTATTCCTGCTAACCTACAAAATATTTCGAAAGGAATGGGAATTGAGAACATAATACATGCAACTGCATGCAACCAGCAAGACACGTATATGTGATATTGGTTGTAGATGTGTCCAGTCCATTGCTTACTGACCTTTGTTTCACGTTTATTGTCATGTTTGGCGCAGAATAAATAAATTGTTCTCAAAGATGGATGCTTCATTTTTACACTTCTTGGAGATATGCAAGTACCACAACATTCTCTTTGATTCCACTTTCGTCTACTTTTCGCATATATTTTTGATGAAGAATCCTGATACAAACGAAAATTGTTAGAATAATTCTGATACAAAATTCGAAAATAGCAGTCGACAGTTAATACAATTGATAGGCCAGACATGTCTCAAATTACTGAAGCTGTGTTTAATGAACTGCGTTGCCATGGTCATGTGCTTAAGAAATCGTGTTGCCATGGTAACGTGTTTAATATTTTGAATAAATCACAGATCGACAATCCGTGATTAATCGATCATTTAGCGTGGTACATATCCGTACGCTAAATGCCATTTCAGTTATGTGAGTAGAGAAATCAATTTCAACATAGTAAACTTCTTCATTATTTCATCATTTTCATTATGCCTCGCCCCCCTTATTGCTGACCTCCGAACTCAATAATTGCATACTAATTCCCTCTAATCCGCCTGCCGGTTAGTCCGGTCAACAATAATCAACTCGAGATTCGGCTAGTGACGGGCTGTCATCGTGCTTTGACGTACCTCCTCGTTTCCCCTCCCCCCTATCCTGGCCGTCGATTGTTTGTTTTAATCGTTGATTGGGGGCACGCGGCCGCCTGCGGCACGTGACCTTTGGCGCTGTCATTGTGTCGACGGAATTGCAATTAGAACGGTTGTCGGGGCCTGTCGGAAGGGTTTCGGCACTTACACCGGCGATGAAAATAGTTTGTAATGCGTAATTTGTGTTGAAAAGTATTTTTTCTACGGCTATAACACAAGATTGCTCTTGTTTTACTTTTTTTTATGTTCTGGTTCCCACGAAAAAGGATATCCTGTAAAGTTCAGAGAACATCGTGAGAACCAAGGGAAATAAAGTAGGAATTAATTGGTGTTCTTCTCAAATTTCTGGAGGTTATATGCATCGGGAACACTACCTTGGTAATGTGTTTCAGAGCCTCCCTGTTCGTTGGATGAACGAGTCTTTGGAAAGAGAAGTACTGCAGGTCTCCAAAGTGACCACGAAGGGGTGCGAAGCCTCAACTCGACGGGTTAATCTCGCGGGGACTGCCAAGGGAGGAACAATTGTTGATATTTCAGAAGAGCATCGTCCATGAAAATATCTATGAAATAGAGCCAGATCGCCAACTTTTCTACGGTGTTCAAGAGAAGTGAGTGAGTTTGTGAGCGAGGCATCACCCACGAGACGGATTGCCCTTTTTTGGACAGAATCCAACAGTTTCAGGGTATGTTTGGGTGCTGCACTCCAAATATGGGAACAGTATTCCAGAACAGGTCGGATCTGTGCCTTATAGATCATAAGCAGCTGACTGGAAGTGAAATAGCTCCTGGCCCGAAACAGAAAACCAAGTTTTTGGGATGCATTTTTAGCAATAGATCTCACGTGATTTTGCCAAGAAAGGTTATCGCTGATAATAATACTAAGCATCGAAATGGATGTCTTCAAAGGTATGGTTACTCCTGACAAGCTTATGTTGGGCATAGTGAGATTGGCTTTTCTAGAGAAAAGGCATGCTTGTGTTTTGTTCGCATTGAAATCTACCAAGTTATTGGATCTCCATTCGAGAATTGTTGCCAAGTCCACATTTATGTTGTCAACATTTCTCCCTCGTTCGTTTCTGATTTGCCTGGCTGGTATTGGAGCTCTGGAAGAGAAGGCGGTTTGGAAGATATTATCATCCGCGAAGCTGTGTACTGGACATAAAGTTGCTTTGGAGTAGAAATATGTTGGTGCTAGAATTGATACTTGCCAGCATTTATGATAAGAGAGTCAGATGAAACTGTTTGAGAAAAAACTAGCTAGCAGAAAACATAGCAGGGGAGGCAAGCCATAACATGGAAGCTTGGCGAGGAGTCCGTGGTGCCAGACTCGATCGAATGTCTTGGAGATATCAAGTGCCACGGCTAAGGTTTCACCATATTTTTCAATAGATTGCTGCCATATAATTATGTGAGACATAAGCGAGCAGGCCACCAGTTGATCTCTGATGGCGGAAGCCATATTACCTATCGTTGATGATTCCTGAATGTTCCAGGTATTTCATGAGCTCGATGTTGATAGCTTTCTCCATGATCTTTGAAATAATAGATAGCAGTGCGATCAGTCTGTAGTTGCTAGGTAGGGTCTTTTTGCCTTTTTTAGGAACTGGTTGTACTCTTGCAATTTTCCAGTTGGACGCGCAAAAATGTGGGCTTTCTCCTGGGCAGTTGTGGCTAGTGTTCCATCTTCCTTGGTTAGAGGAGGAAACGAGCTGGAAGTGAAGTTTCTTCGCACAGCTTTGGCGAAGGACCAAAATGAACGGGATCCGCTAGGACATTCAACAAGTTTTGATTTCATTTTGGCATTATGAGCATCTTTTGATGATCGAATTGTCTCATTGCATATGCCTCTAGTATCGACATATTTTGCTCTAGTCTCAGGGCCTGGATGTTTTCTGCCGTCGATGGAATACTGCCTGTTTGGAAGCGACAGCTCTAGAGCAAGTTCTACTAAACCAGGCCTTATCGGAAGATGTCCTCCTTGCAGTGTTCGATATGTAGGTTTGCATCCCCAACATGATGATTTCAGAAATTGTCTCAGCACATCGTGTTGGATCTGCTGAGGGGAAGCAAACTCTTTTTCATGGAAACGCTGAAAAAAACATACAAAGACCTTCCCAGTAGGCCGAATTGTAATGCCACATGGGACGGGTAGGAATAGTGGTGGTACATGGAAAGAGCAGATTTTGTGGAGATGAGGGTGTGGTCAGAGTTTCCAAGTGGGGCACAAACTTCTATTCTATATGGATCAGGATTGCTGGTGAGAAAAAGATCTAGTGTATTGGCAGAATGGTTGTTGACATATGGAATGCGGGTTGGTAGTTTGACTAGTTGTTCTAGACCGTGAGTATGGCGAAGGCCTCAGTTTGACGACCTGCATCATCGTTTTTGTTAGAGAATTTGTGCCAGGCTGTACATTGAAGTCTCCCATAATTATGATTTCATCTGTTGGATGCTTCTCCTGAATGAAGTCCAGTTTGAGTGATAAAAACTCAAAAGAGGTTATTATATTCATTATCTAGGCGATAGGTAAAGGCAGCAGATAAATTTGGTCAGTTTGGTATCGACTAGCTTGAACCACATCACATCAAAGTCTTTCGGTTCCAAACTCTCTACACGCTGGCATGAAAGGTTAGCCTTAGCGTAGAGGCAGACTCCACCTTTGAACCTTAATCGAGAATGGAGTTCGTAACCAGGACAGAGCATGTGGACCTTGTTGGTGGACGAGTTCACTTGAGTTTCTGTTAGCGCCAGAATATCTGTTTTTTTCGTGAATTATTGAATTGAAAATTCCTGAAGTTCCCAATCGTATTTCTAGCCGTTTAAAAATCACCGTGACATTATTGATGATTTTAGCACCTGAAAATAGACCGAAAAATTATTTTGAAACATGAAATTGAAAGGTATTCGAGTGATGATTCAATTTAACAAATAGAAAAAAAATTTGTTCATTCGCCTAATTCCAGGTTATCAGGGCCAAGGCAACAACCAGTCCAGCCAGCGCAGCTTCGACAATCACGGAGGCTACAGCAACCAGAGAGGTCAAGGCAACCAGGACGGTTACAGGAACCAGGGCGGTTACAATAACCAGGGCGGGTACAAGAACCAGGGACGAGGCGGGGGATACGGGGGTGGAAATAGAGGGGGTGGTGGGGGGTAACAACTACCAGGGTGGGGGCAGCTACCAGAATAACAGAGACCAAGGTGGTAGACCTGCAGGGCCGTATAGGGACAGATACGAGCCGAATAATAGGTATAGCAGTAGAAGATAATGCGTGGATGATTATTGGGAATTATTTATAGAGAATAATAAGCTTTGAATGAAGTTTGATCACCAAAATCATGGCTTCAAGTCATTCTAGTTAACTTTACATCAATTTCCGGATATGTTATTGGAATTATCGGTACTTTTAGGCTCTGAAATGATACAATTTCAGTCGGTTAGGAACTACTTGCTTTATTGGTCGATATCTGGCAAGTGAGCTTTCAATGAAACAAAAGGAGTTTTTTTTTCTCTCTCAAATGAACAAAAATCTGGAGCACCGTGTTTTATCAATATTGAGCATGGCAAGCAGTGGCGACATTTGTTTCATCTTTTTTTTGTATGTTTTCGCAAGTACTTCAAAATATCTGAAGTCTTTCAGTTTCAATGCTTCAAAAGTTTCAATAATTCCAATAGATGTTTCATTCAATAAATAATTCCATATTTTTTCTGTGTACGATTATTATAAGCGAGCTTTGTCGCAAATTGATGAAAAGTGAGGTTGAAAATTTTTTCACGTCCAGATAACATTATAGTGTTGGTTATTGTTTTATAATTGATTGATTGTTCTTATATTTGAGTCACTGTTTCCAAGGAGAATCAAGTGCTTGGATCTCAAACTAGTCTGATAAATATAGAGAATCACGTTGAGAAGTTTCTACACAGTGTTTTCTCATAGTATTTCTTGGATGTAATTTTTTATATAACACATTACACTTCTTTAAGTACCTTAAGATTTGATTTTATAATATGACTTGAAATATCATCAATTACGGAATTTCTGAGTAGTCAAATAGTTTTATAAGAGGTATATTTTGTAGGTTTACAAAACAAAAAAAAACGCGCAATAAAAATGAATCTTTGCAGTTTGTTGTTGATGTTCTATCCATGTCCAAAAACTAATAGGGGAAACGTGGATAAACCAAGACTACAATGATAGATATTGTACAGGGTGGGCCAAATTGGAGGTGAAATTTTCATGACAAACTCAATAGTGAATACCGCATATCGATATCTATATTCGTTTTAGAGTTACAAGGGGTTTTCCGAAAATGTGCATTTTTGAAAATTGCCTCCTAATATCATATTTCGGAAATATCGGTGATTTCATGAGTATTATGTAGAATTATCGTATCTTTCTATTTGAATTGATATCTTTTTGTTGGTTACACATTATTTACTAGAACAATATACAGGGTGTTTCCGAAATTGGGGCGATAAATGAAATGGGTAATAGAAATCGAGAAAACAAAACGAAAGAATACATTTTTGTCGAAGAAAAAAAAACAATTTTTTCGAAGATATTGAGTTGGGAATCATTGATTCGAAATTGATTTTTGAACCAAAGCGTTTTCTTTCGGCGAGGTCAGAAACATCGGAAGTATCAATGATTTCTGTAATATTAACGGACGTTTAATGATAGTAGAAAGACGGAATATGGTGACAGCGCCCCAATTTCGGAAAAACCCTGTATATCTGAAACCACCATAATACCTCAGGATGAGATCATTCCATATCAATTTCCTAAGTTCCGTGGGACTAATAACCAAAAAGGGCTTAATTTTACGATACTGGAAAGAACCATTGATTCTTATACAGGGTGTCCGCTAATGAATGGTACACAGCAAAACTGCAGATTCCTTGAATAAATATATTGAGATTTAGCCAAACTCACCTCAGTCCAAAAGTTGATATTGACAAATATACAGGTTGTCGAAGTTTCAACTTGCATTTCGTTTTTTTCAATAATTCATCAACGGAGCCAAAAACCTCCAAGAAATTTGGCATTAGGGGATTTTCTGATGCAAGAAACTTCAATCTGCCACTTACGGTACATTATACAGGGTGTCCCTAAATCACATATAAAGATTTCAACCACAGATTTTAGGAACAAAAATAGTAAGAAAAGTTCATATAAACATAAAAACAATATGAAGAAGACACATCGACAAATCGAAACTAGCTGAACATATCATTACTGAAGATGGACAACATATTATTATGGCAAAGTGGAATAATATTAAAATCACGAGAAAAGAAGATAACAACCAGAGTAGAAAAATCAAGGAATCTGCTTGCATTCTTCTGAACGGAGACCATAGCATTGCTTCCTGTTCAGTTGATATAGATAGAACATGGTATTCACTACTGAAATCTGAAAATGAAAATGTTGAATTCAAGATTAATTAATGAAAACATCCTGTAACTCATTTGATTGCCAACGTCACCAACTGTCACTGAGAACTGAAAAGTATCAGGACAAATACGAATATGCCATACTAGAAATCAATTTTTTATGTTGAAAACTTTGATATATTTTTTTAGGCTCTCTGATAGGAAAATCCTTTAAACGCAGTGACATTTTGGGGCAAATGATCTGTACCTACCATAATATTTTTCAAATTATTATTTTTATTGTTCCTCTCATATTTTGAGTCAGACATCACAGGTAGTTGTCGAAAAAAAACGGTATTTTCTATCGAAAAATAATTTTTGGAAAATTTGCTACTCTATTATGAGGAAAAAGCACTATTCTGGTTACGCAGCAGACTCTTAAAATCCGAATTTTCGACGGTATTCTAATGTGGTCGAAGAGTTGGTGAGTGTGGCATCACCCACCAGGCGAATTGCTCTTCTCTGGATGGAATCTAAGAGCATCAGCGTATGTTTGGGTGCTGAACCCCCTAACATAATATTTTTCAAATTATTATTCTTATTGTTCCTCTTATATTTTGAGTCAAACATCACAGGTAGATGTTGAAAAAAGTGTTTTTTCTATCGGAAAATAATTTTTGGGAAAATTTGCTACCCTATTATGAGGAAAAAGCACTATTTTGGTTACGCAGCAGACTCTAAAATCCGAATTTTCGACGGTTTTCTAATGTGGTCGAAGAGTTAGTGAGTGTAACATCACCCAACAGGCGAATTGCTCTTCGCTGGATGGAATCTAAGAGCATCAACGTATGTTCGGGTGCTGAACCCCATACATGAGAACAGTATTCTAAAACTTCAACTATTTGTGCTTTGTAGATCATGAGAAGTTGTGGTCTAAAGTAGATTTTTGCACGGAACAAGAAACCGAATTTTGTGAAGCAGCTTTTGCGATGAATCTAACATGATTTTCACATGATGGAAATATTGGAAATACCAAGCATATGTATTATACAGTCCAAGATAAGGTTGCACAGCATGGGGATCTCGGAAACGGTAGGAGATACGAAGTCGGTTAAATGGGGAAAAAGTTGCGCATTCGGAGGCTCATACCAACAGCCTTCGAAAATTTTCAAAATTGTTTTAAGTTTTCCAGCTATATCGAAAAAAGTGAAATTTTGGAATATCTATTTTATTTTTTTTTCTCCGTTATAATTAGAGATACAGGCAAACTGAAATTACTTTTTCATAGCAACTTTTGATGACGTTTAACGTGGTGATACCGTATTCGTAGAACCATCACCAACTTTTGTTTTTCAAATACGGTCCTGATAATTCTTTCACAGATTCTGAAAGCTTTTTTTATTCTGAATTGAACCATGTATTATACAAGGTGGTTTGAATGTGTTTCGAACTATTTTTAGCCATCATCAATGTTTTTTTCGAAATTCCAAAGGAAAAATGCCATCAGTTTCACTTATTTCTGATTATTCAGTGTCAAACATTGATGGACTAGTTATTCAATACTGAAAAGTGAAAAAAAAATCAACTAAATTATTCAATGCAGCGCTTCGAATTGTTTATGAATTGTATTCATATTTTAATCCGAAGGAGCTTGTCATAATTACATTTTTCGAACTAATTATTCCTATAAGTCTATCAATCGGAACTAGTTGATGAGGTATTAGTTTGTTGGCTAATTTTCCTTCAAAATAAGTGGAACTGATGGCATTTTTCCTTTGGAATTAAAAAAACATTGATGATGGCTAAAAATAGTTCGAAACACATTCAAACCACCTTGTATAATACATGGTTGAATTCAGAATAAAAAAAGCTTTCAGAATCTGTGAAAGAATTATCAGGGCCGTATTTGAAAAACAAAAGTTGATGATGGTTCTACGAATACGAAACGTCGCATAAAAAAATCGGTATCACCACGTTAAACGTCATCAAAAGTTGCTATGAAAAAGTATTTTCAGTTTTCCTGTATCTCTAATAATAACTGAGAAAAAAAATAAAATAGAGATTCCAAAAATTCAATTTTTTCGATATAACTGAAAAACTAAAAAAAATTTTGAAAATTTTCGAAGGCTGTTGGTATGAGCCTCCGAATGCGCAACTTTTTCCCCATTCAACCGACTTCGTATCTCCTACCGTTTCCGAGATCCCCATGCTGTGCAACCTTATCTTGGACAGACTGTATATATGAGGTGGTCTTGGGGGGAATGGTGGAATCTGTAGTTTTGCTCTGTACCATCATCCGGCGGACACCCTGTACTGTGGAGCTTCTCGCAGAGAAAACCTACCCCGTGTTTTCCGCCGAGCATGCCTTATCTGCGGCGAGAGAGGGTGGGTAGGGTGCTTCAAGGGGGTCGAGGGGGCCATACGTGACCTAACAAAGCCTCTCGAGCCGTCGACGCTTCTCGCTTGATTTAATGATGTCTCTCCTTTTAATTGCTGACAAATTGCCAATTGCTGCTCCCGAGAAAAAATTCGTCGAGAGTGCTTGTGCCATTGTCTCTCTCTCTCTCGCTTGCTTGGTGGCTCTTCTTGTCCCTCTGGCATTACTCTAGCCGTATTTTGTCTGTTTGCAGGAAGGAGAGATTTTAAAAATTTTTCTGCAACCGACATAAAAGTCCATTTTAATATCAAAATTAGCTCTTTTAAAATGACGTTTCTATTACTGACACAAAAATAGGTATGTTGCTAGGCAACATATTTAGTTCCTAGGAGCTAAAGTTGAACTTGAGTTCCTAGGAGCTGAAGTTGAACTTTAGCTCCTAGGAACTAAAAAGGATGTACTGGACGTCATCAAGAATAACAACATTGTTATGGTTGGTTATTTGGGTTGAGACGCATACCTGATTCGTTTCCGATTTCAGCAGATTTGGCATTTCATACCCATGC